ATAAACGTCTCAGTTTCTCCGAAACACCCGCAACACACGTTATTCCGTATGAACTCTGCAGTTTTCACTCATTTACAGGCCAGCGGTCACTCTTTCAGAGATGAGGATGTTCTCATTCTTGATAGAAAGGAATGCTGGTTTGAGAGAGGAGTAAAAGAAGCCATTTTAGTGAAGATAGACAGTTCATCATTAAACAGAGGTGGAGGCCTCCGTTTTCAGTTGTCCTCCTCCTACAGCGCTGCCATTGCCAGTATCACTCAACCCCCTGTTAACAATAAGTGTTAATTAGGTGTCAACGATAGCCATGTGATGTGAGTATCAGTTACATGGAGGCAGGGCCTAAAAGCCTGAATTTTGCCTGAAACTCTCAGACTGAAGAAGTCTTTTGGAGGAGAGACGAAACGTTTCATTAGAGAAGAACCCGTCCAGAAGACCTGTACAATTTTTTCTTTTTCATCCATCATATTCTACAGCAGTGATTACCTGCAGTTGTGACTGTTACGGTGGGTGTTGGTCTTTAACTAAAGTTTTTTATTTTATTTTTAATCCATTGTTTAACCAAACAAGTCCCGTTGAGGTCGCAGATCTCTTTTTCAGGGTAGGCCTGAAGGCAACCTATTGTACATGTTTTGGGGTGGCGGAAACCGGCACACCCGGAGAAACACACGCAAGCATGAGGAGAGCATGCAAACCTTACACAGAAAGACCCCAGGTCCGAACCGGGGATCGAACCAAGGATTTTCTTGCTGTGAGGCGTCAGTGCAAACCACTGAGCGGTCATGTTGCCACTTTCACTTCATATCTCAGCACATGATTTACTTACTGCACACTGGGCCTTCAGTCCAGTTTCCATTATTACAAGTGATGGATTTCTTTGTCTGTTTTGTCTCTGTAACATAACCGTCTGCACACTGATACTCCACTTCTGAACCCATATCAAACACCTCCTGGTATTTCTGGTGAGTGATGACTGCAAAGGGGATTTGGGGTGGTTCATTGCATGCCCTGGGGTTTTCTAAAAATAAGAAACAAAAGTAAGTCAGAACAGAAAAAGAGTTTCTACAGCCAGCAGGAGCAATGCAACAGACTTACTTTCACAGACTGGCACAGAGCTCCATGCTCCGTCTTCACACTGAGCCACAGTTTGCTGCTTCTTGGGTACATAACCATTGTTACATGTTATCGCTAGTTGATGTCCATGTTCAAAAAAGCCTGTTGAGGTTTGGATGGCTTTTGCATTGGGAATTGTTGGTGGAATGCAGGCTGTTTCCTCTGAGGAAGAAAAAAAAATGACACCAATCCATTTGCTGTTAGTCTTGTTGCTATGAGGGCTGTAACCTTCCTGTGTGGTCACCATTTTAGCAACTCCATGTTGTTACAGATGCTAGGCGGGGCTTAGTCTAGTGTTACTTATCTCTGTGGATAGAAGAGATGAAATAACTTCTTGTCAATGGGTCTATGACAGCGTGCATGTAATAAAGTTTTTGAGTTTAGCCACTGTCTCTTTAATTTAATTTATACCCATCACAACCAGCATAGCTGCTTTTACTTAGGCTACCAACAACAAAACCACACTGATGTTTTTATTTCATCTTTGTTTAAAGGTCCACTTTTGAAGTGGTTTTTAGGCAAACTAATACTCTTTCTTGTTGTGCTTTGATATTCATACCAAAACCAACTGCAGCAAATCTTGTTATAAAAGGAATTTCTCTATGGAAACACTAACTTATTTGGTAAAATACTTACTAATACACTGTGGCTCATGAAACCAATTACCATTTTTACATATGGCAATTGCCCACCAGCCTTCCACTTTAGGTTTATATCCGTTATCACAGGCATATCTGATGTGTGTTTCATGAGGATAGGATTCCATCTCAGGGAGGAAATATCCATGGTCCAGGCTGGGAGCGCGACAAGCCTGCTTTACACCTTGACCTGAATACAGAGAAAACAGATTCAGGGGACAACATCCTCTGAAGTCTATTTCAGAAATCTTCATCAATAGAGGTTTATTACACTTACCATGCAGCTCCCCAGGAATCCACAGCAGAAGAGCAAATCCCAGACACGTCACCCACATGTTGTCAGAAACTGAACCCCAGCATTGGAGCCGGGTAAAAGTTTTGTTCAAATCAGAACCAGTTAATAATTATCAGGGATTTCCCGCTAAGAGATAAAAAGTGAAGCAATAGTAAACATTGTGCTGAACTGTCACACTGCTGTCATGAGATGTACTTTAATGTGGTTTACAAGAAAAACATGAAGAAAACTCTATTTAGTTCAGCTTCTACACTTAGTTATGAATACTTGACTTTTTAAACAGTAAAAAGTAGAGGTTTAAGACTGTAAAAACTCGGTGATGAATGCAGATTTGTTAGAGAGGACTTTGTCATGTTATTGATGTTCGTTACATTTTATTTACAAAATGGGAAATACCCACTTTACCAAAACCGCTTCATTTCTCAGAATCGTTTATTTATAAAATACTATTTTTCTGACAGTGTTTACTGCCCTCGTTGGAAACTGATTTTTCCTGACCTGCTGAGATCAGATTCCACATTAGGAAATAACAAACAAATGCTAAGTCAACAAACACATTTTCAGTTAAACTGGACTTTAAATCTAAAGCGCACGATTGATATCAATTTGGACTGTTTTTAAGTTTATGCAGAGTTTTATAATTTTCTTTCCAACTGCTAGATCCTGAAGTAAACTTGGTGTTGTCATAATATAATATAATATAATATAATATAATAT